GCTGGAATGACAAAATCCGTCTCACTTTCCACCCGTGACTCCACTCCTCGAACACAATGTGACCACAATGCCTCATGCACGTATTCACGCTGATTCTCTCATTAACCACTCGCATCTCATCCTTTGTTCCGGTCGTCGTTATTGTTGCGATCCCTGCTTTTGCTTGGAGACTTTATTAACGTGATCACATGAAATATATTTCGTTTGGTTAGTTAGTGATGACGAATCGTTCGTTGGTGTGGCGCATATCAGACAGAACACAACCAACTCATGCTGCTGCTTTCCCGTCTCCGTTCCTCTCCGCATTTGAGGATATCGAGTTACTCGGACAAAAAATACACAAAAGGGGTTGTCATGACGACGAACGATGTGTAACCCGATCTGTTTGGGTACATTTTTTAGAACTGCGAGCGAGAAGAACAGCAGAAGTTGGACCAAATAAGTCCCAAACCCAACAAACCACCCCTCCACTTACTGCCTGGCTTTCTCAATGGATGCTGAAATGATGGTAGTGCTGATACAAGAACGCATCTGAATCTGATTATACGGATCTGCCATGCACATGATGAGAAAGGGTGTAGAAGAGAATCCATCAATTTATTTCGTGGCAGTATTAGTTGGATAAGCAGATACACGTCCTCTCGGGTTTCCCTCCATGAGTAAATGTGGATCAGGGATGACGATAAGTGAATTTTGGTGGATAAAATATAGGTGCACGTCGTATGTTAACTAAGGTGGATTATTCAGTTCCATTTACCTCCACACACACACCAAGAGGCTGGTCTTTACTTATCTGTAGATTTTCGTTCCTTGAGCACAGAACACACAATGTCGCCCTTGCTTCTTGAGGTGAGTGAGCAGTGTTGCACTTGAGATGGACCGTGATGATAAGATGAAATATCAGATGTCTCACAATGAAATGTCCCACATCATAGATTATTATGCTCCTGCTGCCTCCTTTGCCATGTATCAATGTTGTATCACTAACAACCAAGCCTGGTCGTTGTTTGTCGTCCTCCTCTCTCTTTCCCTTTTGGTGCTGGTTACCTTTTCTTCTGATGGAAATCTTACACCCTCATTTATCATTTTCTTTTACATCCCAGTATCAATAACGTTCTGAATTTTTTATGGTCCAGTATTTCTCCCGTAAGCAGAATCCATCCTTGCGTTATGTTGACACAACAAACATTTTCTCCTGTTCTGCATTTCGTGGAGTGTATCACTCTACATGTAAAATGAGACATCTCATAGCAGTGTTTTTAATAAGCTGTGTGTGTGGATCTCATTGCACCAAAAATTTTCACCTCGTCCACATTGTTGCGAAGGGGGTGGTGGTGGTTGGATGTAGTCATGTTGGTTAAACCAGTAATAATGATGCTTATGTGGGACTTGGGTTTCACTAACGATGCCATTCGATACTTTTCTAAATACAAACAGAAATTGAGAACCTGTCCATTCAACAGATACGTGGAATGTTTAGATGAAAATACATGCACCTATGTATGTACTGTGTATGTATGCACACGTAGTATGGATGTACATATGTACATAAATATATCTGCTTGGGCTGATTTCTTTGTTAAAGCCCAAAAACATAATGACAATGACAACACTATTCTCCGATTTTCTCTGCTGTCGGATTAAGGGATCAATAAAAAGCCAAGCATTATTGAGCTGATCTTGGGATAAGCAATTAAAAGAGTCTTCTGTGGTGACTTTTTATTACGAGATTTGATTTCATGATAAGAGATGAGTGGCTGAGCAAGAAATCATCCTGAATGTTTTGGGCAAACAGGGCAAATTAAATTATAGAAGAGGACGCGATAATAATTATTGTCAGAGGACAGTTTGATTGGCCTCCGGTTGATTTGCATAATTTATTTTGCATAATGCACATATCCCATAATGGGAATTTGTCTAATTTCAAATTATGCAAAATAACAATTTCGCATAACTAGTATTTGCATAATCTTAGTTTTCTTTCGATTTGTACAAATTTTGGTTCTGTCCAGCATTTTTGGTGCCTTGGTTCTCTCACACCACGCACAGTGTTCCAATAAACAAACTAAATTTCAAGAATAAGGAATGGGCTTCTAAGAAATTGAGTAGAATTTCTTCACTAAAAATAGTTCAAAAGGGGAACCAAGCTAAGTATTCCGTGAAATGCCTGGCCCTGAAATGGTCAGATGGTATAAGTATAAGTTCACTTTACATGATCAATCTACATTTAAATTCCTTTTGAAGCTAGTACATAAATCTTTTTTCAACCCTTAAACATTCTTGCAGTTGATTGTATAAATACCTGTGCCAGTTATATTAATAACCCAAAAATACACTTACAAAAATATACTTGAAATCCTAGACTTACCAATTCATTGGCTATTGCATGCATGAGTATACTCAATCCTAAAATTATGTGACATTCAGTTATGTAAAAAGTACTGTTATGTGAAAAGGTGTTTATTCAATAAAGATTAGGCAATATGACCGTTATGCAAAATAACTTTATGCAAATCAACCTATAACCCAGTTTGATTGCATCTGCCACAATGTCTGCTATGCACACGTACGTGTACACCTCTGCCAGAACGAAATAAAGAACAGGTAGCCCGAACTTTGGTATTTCTGTCAACTTTTTTTCCTCAATCCGTGGAGCAAAGTTATCTATCCATCCACCTCTCCTGCAAAACCTTGTCAAGTGCAGTGTCCCCATGTTTTCTTCTTGTTTCATTCCAGTGGAAACAAGTCAGAGTCCAGGAGATAGGACGAGCAGGATAAGCGTACATTTAGTGGACATGTGTATCATGTTCATGTACGATGCACAACGAGGAGGAACATAAACCATTTGAGCTCAGCCCAGTTGTGCATTTGGTTGATGGTGAGTTGTTACCTGGGCGAACCTTATCCCGCATCAGATCTAAATGCTCATCCCCGTACATAATTTGTCACAACAAATTTAATCAGTGAACCATCACAGTTCAGGAATCTCGATCCGATTTGTTTTTCACAGCGTTAAACTGATGGCTCATTATTCCTCCTCGCTCAAAAAGTAAAAGGGGGAGAACAGAACGATACGAAGGGTACATCATCAATCGGCTGTGGAACTATGGGATGCAGCTCGACGTGTGTTTGCTTATGGGGGTGAGATTCTTAGGGTACGTTAAAAATATCAAATTGCCGAGTAAAATGCTGAAATTCCTGACTTTATTATTACCTAAACTGAACCAACCATTCCAATTCACAGTTACACTCACAGTTTTACACTATGTTCATCATCTCCTCAGCATATGCATGTTCAATGCTCACTGAATCAGGTTCATCTTTCGACACAAATTTCAGACCGATTTGTTAATTTTCAATACGCTCCCATAATCGAATTGTAGTTGCAGTTGTACCTCCAACGAATTTTGACTCATTAATGATAACCCGACGTTGGTTGGCTGCTGTTGGCTCCTCGCTATTACTGTCATTAATGGTACATTGGATCTTTTGTTCTCCCCGAAAACTGAGCGCACCTCTCCTCCCTCCCTCCAGTCAGTCACCCTGAGCAGTGATGAGGATAATATGCGAGGTGACGGATGTCGGTCGACTGATTGAACATTGATAATAATAATAATAATAATGGACCCACGGACGAATGGACGGACGGTGTGCCTTGTTACCTGTGATATTATGTACACATCTACCTGTTCAATCCAACTCATTTGAGCATGGAGTGCACACACAAGGAATAATTCCTGATTTCGATTTTCTGATTGGATTAAACGTGGCATGGTTATGCGTTCCTCATTCAAGGGCAGAATTTTACTCTTGTTAAGGCTCAAATGTATACATTTTTATGGCTTTAATGACCCACATTCATGCCCATATGCTGAACAAAGAAAGTTTCCAAACTCTATTTGTGGGTCTCTTTCACTTTGATCCGATCTGACTGATGCATGCTCTGATAACTGGACGTTCAAATCGAGGATCATCTGCTAAATGAGGAGGCAGTTGCTTCTGTGAGTTTTAGATTCAGATTCAGATGCGAGATAGATAAATGTACATAGTCTCCTAATTCAGTGTTATTTGTGCTAGATTGCAAAGTGTGCAAAAGTGCAGATGAATAAATGAATTAGAGCTGTGAGCGAATAATGACGTGAATTAGGAGATCATCATTGGTAGCATTTTCTGTTTCTGGTTTGGTAAAAATCTGGTCGTGTTTCGTTCCTAGTGCAGCCAAGGAGTTGGAGAACAAGGTGAATTGATTGTATCGTAACTGCGTCAATAATGGGCTGCAAATGGACAATAAATAATTTCGGGTTTGGTTGCATTTACGTACGCAGCTTCCAAAAGGCCAACCATATAACTACTCACCCATGCACAAATGCTTCTCCCATTTTCATGTCGTCGGTGTATGAATATTGGGATCGAAATTATCATCCAGCTTGTTGTTGAGAAGATAATCATCAGAGAGCTGTTACAAAGGAGAGAACCCTTCAGTCTTCTTATTATTCTGCTTAGAAATACTTTCCCCTTGCTTCGTCGGTCCTGAACAATGGGGAACAAAGTGTCCAATGGCCTATCCAAATAAGTAGACACGGCTACTTACTACACGACTGGAAGTAAGTGCTTGAATGGGTTTCCTCGGGGTACTTATCAAGACTCTCGAGAGACACCTACTACACAAATGTATGGACAAATCCAGTCCACAATTTCCTCGCTCCCGTGAATTCCAATGCACAGGTCACTCAATTTCGACTCCTTATCTTTGGCGAAATGGCAGGCTCCGTAATCAATGGACAAAGTGCATGTCAAATGAACAGTCCATTCCATGCAAGTAGCAGTTATTATTCTCTCTTTTCAAGCTTATGTGTGTTTGGTAATTCTACCCATTCCACCCGATTAAACAAACCCTGCAGGCAGACGCTGTAAGCTCACAAGCGAATTATGAAATTATGCTTAAGGATTATGTGAAAGATTATCCCACGAATAATAATCATGAGGTGTACGCACATAAATGATTTCAAGTATTCTGTACGATTTTATTGTTGACATTATCAAATAATAAAACATATCTCGTAAATACATTCAGCTTGTTACAAAACAACAAAATATTAACTTTTTCATCACATGTAAGACACAACTTACTAGAATAACTTTAAATGGCTAAATCTGAACATGGTTAAGTTATAGTTAACGGGCCTGCTGCTATGCTCTTCTTTTTTTATCCTGTCGGTGTGCAGGGCATCATAATAAACTAGCATTTTTTGCTGTTGAATATCTGTACAAAAATCTACTCCCAAAACTTGAAATACATACATACACATATGCATGACATGCACAGATATCTGTGTATATATGAACCGCTATATGAACTGTTACGACTTACAAGGTATAATTTGTGCATGTACAACTGCAACTCATAATAATAATACTGGAAAGTAGATTTAAATCATAAAATTTCAAAATAAATTGGTAATTGATTCGCAATTAATCAAATGGAACGGTCATAATTCAATGGAAACGTCCACCCTCTGCGCACCTTGGTGTATCATTACATTAATCATTTCTCGATTAAATATCAATTATCTTTACGCAGTGAATGCCTCACATGATGCATATAAATATTCCTATCCTAGCATAATCATACGATACCCAGAAATATTAAATAAAAATCAAAACTGCACATAAATTTTACACATGATCATTCACACACGAAAATTATCTGTCGTACTCTTTAAAGTAATATCACAAAATTGCATGACCTCATAAACACCGCTGAATTGTATGCAGGCATGCTCGTATTTTTCAGAATTGGAAATGTGCTGAAACTTTTAAAGCTATTTTCAACCTGGGATTTGTCGTGCGAGAGAAATTAGAAAAGGTGAAATGATTGTGAAATTTGTTTCCGAGATAAAGCAGGAATTCTCGCCTCGTATGATGTCTAATGCTTATTGTTAGGGGCCTATTTAGATTTTATTCTGTTTATGGCATGCATTTTTTAAATTTCGAAATACGAATTATTATAATATATATCATCATGAGTAAGTCAGTGTGCAAAGGAATTATGACTGCATGTATGTAACTGGTATAGGATGTATCTGGGCATGTACGTCATTCCTCGCCCAATCGAACGCCAATAATTATGTGTCACATGTTGGGCATCGTGATTTGTTAAGATTACAACAAGAGAAAACGATGGCAATTGCCCTAAGGAAGCTACCAGCAGGATGCACACATTTCGTACAATATTACCCTCGATAACATGTATTTGGTATGCACGACGACATTTCCCATGCAAAACTAATTATGTATTAATGCTGAATGGCTGACGGATATCAATTGCATTGCGCAATAACTTGCAAGTATTCGTATTTATAGATATATCCTAAAAATGTATCGTTTAAGAGTTTGAAATTTTTGTGGAGAATTAATAATTTACATTACTGATTTATAAGTAGAAGTATTTAGTCAAGATGTAAAAACAATGTTCTCGATGATAAATTAGATCGGATTATGCACCAGACTTGTGTTGGATTAACACGTCAGCCAAAGTATTATTTTAATGTGCTTTTATTCTCACGGTGCCAAATGTGACTGACGAGATTATGATTTTGAACGAATGTGTAGGAATATCGAATTGGATTATATTTTAATTCTGCTTGTAGAGGTTATTGAATGAATGAATGAGAGAGAGTAGGTATGCGTAGTAATCAGTCCGCTATAACTGATGATCTCCCACTTATTGTACCTACCATATATCTTGCTCTTATCTAAATGGAGGATTACTAACCCCGAAATGAGTAATGGTGGATAAGTTTCGTGTCACAGGAAATAAAATATCGCGAGTGTAAAGATTTTGAGATTCGTGGCCAACATGCAGCGTGTCTTGCGCCATGAACCAGAGTAGAATGCCAAGTTGGTTGGGGACAAAGAGCACGAGTTATTTTATATGAATGAGACAAGTCTCAGAGTTTGGTTAATAAACAAAGAGTTGGATTTCACAGGGTGGATAAGATCTGTTACTCAAAGAACTGTCACAAATGGTGGTATTCGTGATGGACCCCCAGAGAGGACACGGGAGCGCCCAAATGATGACCACTGCTGCTTAGACTGAGATCCGTCTGTCCGTCCACCTCGCTCCCACCTCCTCCTCCTCGCAGTGACGAAACGCCACCGGCCGCAGCCGCCGCCATTAAATGATGGTGAGGAATCCCTGCAGCAGCCGCAGCCGCCATACTGTGAAATCCTCCCAGTGACTGCATCGCCGACAGGGAAGCGAGGCCGGATGTCATGTGGTCCTACAAAAATCAGCAAATTTTCAAACGTCACAATATGTTCATCACTTAACGTCGATATGGAGCGACTCGTGGAAATAAATTCCACTACGAGATATTACTATTTATATTGTTGTTTTAGACGAGTGTCTCATTTTCCTCGATAAAAATGGGTTTACTGCTAAGCCTACCTCTTCTCCTTCTTCTGAGGTAGCGAGTAAAAGTGTAAAGGAATGTGAGATCAAGAGAGGTCATCATCATCTCCTCGTCAGCATCATAAAGATCATCAATCACGAGAGATAGGAAACGACAGGAAGAGCAAGGTGTGACTTGTGATCAGATTATCACTCTCCGCAATACGTGTGACTTAACAATCCAATGACTTTGCTCCTTTATCCAACAACCTGTCACACTTTCTCTGCCTCCGTCGACTAATAAATGTGATGCGCACTCTTTCCAACAACCCTTCAAAATCAGGCCCATTCAGCGGGGTTGACAATACAATACTTTTTTTATCAAAATCTGCTGTACCTCTCACTATGCGTTACAACTACACAGTTCTTAATCTCGATGGACGGTAGGCATGCATAATGAGATTGCCAGATTATTGGCATGCCACTAGATGAACATACATACTTATTTACGGGCTTCACTACTCAACAGCACAAAAAATTGACTTGCCATTTGATGCTGAGAGAATAGGTTGAGACCGGGAGGGGATGATTTTTGGTTTTGATTGAGTCCGAGCTGGTGGTGGTGGTGGTGATGGTGGTGATGAAGGAATCCGGAGGAATCAATCATGGATGGCTTCTCGTCTTGACTTTCTCCAGAGCTGGAGTCACCATCGGGAGAACCCAGACCGGAATGGGTCAGTTTCTTCCCACTGCTTCCATCCTCTGACCTGTTGTGGATGAAAAAAATGGACAAATCAGCCAAGAATTCACGACTTTTATTAAAACGGGACATTCACGGCACGGCCTCTCATATTACAGGGGAGATAATCGACCCAAGCCCAAAAATTGATTGTGATGTGATCCTCCACACGAAATAATTGAGATTATCGAGTCGAGTTTAGAGAAAAATTGTATTAAGGGAAATTCATGAGAGGTGCTTGCTTCGTGTTGCTCAAAATTAAATGTTTGACGCCGTCGTGTTCTCACCATCTCTCTCGAAACTTGAATAACTATGTAAAATCTGGTTACTCTTCCCCCTCAAGATAATGATAATGATTATGATGATGTGGCTGCATTTACAACCTCAACCACCACCACCACCACAACCGTGGTCATTACATGCATATAACCATTTCCCCTTTGTTTCACCTCACTTATTGTGCTGCCATTTGTGTCAAACCCAATTTCTAATGGTATTTCACTTTGACGTGGATTACTGATTTTGTTTGTCTAGGATGTCAGCACAACTGCACGAAATGAGAAGTACACATACAATCATATCACGAGATGCTGCTCTCAACCTCAAGAATTAACACATCAATTTGATGGATGATGAATAAGGGAGAAAAAAATGTGACTGGCTTGTTGTTCTTCTTGTTGTTGTGTAGATAACGGAAATTACTGACGCGACATTAAATTGATTAAACGTGAGTTGTAGCAACAAGCCCTCTGAATTCGAGACTGTGCATATAAATATATCTTCTAAACGCGCATTGTGTGTGTACATGCATGTTCCATCACGAAGGGCAAAAACTCATTCATGAACCAATTTTCATTGAGATAATCTCCTCTCTGCTGTCTGATTGCCAACGAGAAAGGACGCTGGCTGGCAGTCAGTTGTCACCTTTGACTCGCTGGTTTGAAGTTGGACAATAATACCCAGCAAAATGTGAGACGAGTCAATACTCAGTCAGTCACTAATAACTCACTCTTCTTGGAAGGAAGTTATGTTTCTGTTATCTTAACACTAGAGCTTTACAAGATTCAACATTAAAAAAACAAATAGGAGCTAACATGCGGATAAAACAATGGCTGTTATGACTCTGAGTGTGTGAAATGGTCCGTCTTGTTATGCTATGCGTATAAATATCTATGTAGCAGTGAGTGAAGTAGTCAGATCCACCAGTCCTTTCTTAATCCTTTAATCCGACTAAATGAGCGTCGTCCAACAATGTTCTTCTCACATCAGAGATCTTCATCTTTTGTGTACAACTTACAACTCAGCAGCAAGTTGTTTGGGACCAAGGAGAGACGATGACAACGGGAGTTGTCTGGACTTTCCAGTAGTTTACGCAACACATGTGCGTGATAAAAGAGGAAGGACGACCAGATGCTCCTTCTAACAATCGAACAAGTGTTTTTTGACCGGGATTATTATACGATGACTTTTGGAGACAACTAACCAACTATAAATCACATTATCACATGCCTTGCTCTCGGTATTCTGAGCTGCTGAAGTTACAAACAACTTATTTCAATTTCGAGCATGAAGTCGTATGCACATGTTCGTACGCATCTCACATAAACTCATAAATATCTGCGTATGTTGATTGGAGTAAGTGTCAAAAGAAATGTTTCAGCTTAAGAAGGTTAATTTCTAGAGTCTTGTAGCATTAGTGCAGTAAGTAGTTGGTAGAATATAGACAAAAAGAGACACTAGATATGGGAACTTTAGTTATGCGATCCATATGGCTAACCATCCATCCCTGGAGTCGGGTTACATTTAAATTACAATATTTTCAACTCCACATTATTTTAAAAATTCTCTCCTCAAACAGAACAGAGTGGATTCCTGTGCTTGCTTAAATTGCAACAACAAGGCGTTAAGAGGGCAAGTGAGTGCTACAACACCATTACATGTACATACAGAAGAGGGCCAGAGCCTCAACATGTAATGCCACTCGGGGAAGTTTCCCTAAAAACAAGGTCATTTTAGGATTTCGAGCAGTTATGCCTGTAAAACAATTAAATTTGAAACAATAAAACGGATGTTTGAGAACTGGAACATCTTGGGTCTTTCCGTACCCATGAGTTCTGAGAACGAGCGACTACAGCCCATGCACTTCTTCTCGATCCATCATATGCCTACCCGTAAAACCTGCTGCTGCGATGATAGTGCTGATTGTGTACATGAACGCCTAGTGGTTCTTCCTATATGTTCCCCGTCCTATACAAATTTGGTATAAAGGAAAGTAAGAAAAAGCAAGAAGCCCGGATATCGGGTTTCAGTATTTTGCCACCCACAATGGAACTGAGGAGAACATACGGCGGAGAAGATGAAGTGTATTGAGGATTCTCACATTTCGTCCCTAGTGTGTCCCAGTTGAATGTTAGTTTACTTTGGTGCAGTTTGAGAGAGGAAAAGTAGTTTAGTTTAACCAAACTCTCCGATGAGTTCGGTCGGCCAGAGCTGACACTAATGGAACCTTTCCAAGATCTGATAACCCAAACATTATTATCATTTGCAGATTCTCCTCGTCTCACCCATCCTCCATATGCGCCCATCCACAAAACCTCCTTCCAAGTCGAGACAATATCAATGCAAACATCACAACTTTGAATTGGCGTAAAACATGCATGCAAAGCACAATTCTGCATTATCATAAATTATTACGAGCTGCATATTACAATTAAGTTGCTCATTTTCTTGTAGAACTGCACGTTCTGATTGATTAAAGTTCCACCTACCCAAACCCTGGCACCCAAGAGACAACGTGACTCGAGTTCTCATCTCTCCTGAGCCATTTCCCCGGTGAAAGGAGATAATAATGGGATCGAGAGGTAATAAAGCGAAGCCAATAGTGTTTGCCCAGATGCGCTTCAATTTGATCTCACTCACTCATAGGCACTAAAGCTCTGATGAGTATGAAGAAATGCTTCTTTTGTGAGTTAGCCGGTTCATCGGAATGGGACCAAGAAGAAGACAATTCTAGCATTGAGCAGCTCGCCGTGTGCGATTAGTGAGCAAGAGAGGAATTTTGGAAGACGGTGGAGAATGAGATGACAATGACGCTTTTAAGAACAATACACGGTATCGGTTACAGTCACACAAGTCGGAAATAAGTCACATGTTGGTTGGCTGGCTGGTTGTTTTCTTGACATTGTGCAATTGGCAGCTGAAGAGGAATACCCATTTCCTCACCAATTGTTCACAAAACCGTTCTTTTGTTTCGCAGAACAAGAAAAGAAAATGAATGATGGCGAAAAGAAATAAATCTTTGCTTCATGCCAAATCTCAAGTCGGCAATCGTCACCACACTTTTAACGCTCCCTATAAAATGCTGAATTTGCCGAATTCTAAAACAACAAAGTTTGAAATACATGTGTTTGCAATCCTATAATGTAATCGAGTCGTATGCGATATTCAGCGTGTAAGAAAATTGTGCAGTTTACATGACTTGTTTTCCCAGTCAAATGACACAACGTAATTTAGGACTTCCGATACAACCCCAATAAGCTCAACAACTTGAAAGCGATTAGCCCGACCGAGGACCGCCACCGTCATCAACTCATTGTCTTGTTTATTGTTTAAAATATGTGAGTAGAAATTTGCTTACCTTGGAGGCCCGTCTTTCTGCTCGGCTGCTCTGTCCCGTTGGCGTCTATTTTTGAACCAATTGCTAACCTGTTGTATCACAAATTTCGAATTTAGTCTGATTATTAACCCCCAATCTTGCCATATTAGTAATTCCTGACCTGAGTTGTCGTTAAGCCCGTCGCCTCCGCCAGTTCCCGCTTTTCTCTCGGAGATGGATAAGGATTGTGGGTGTACCTGGCATTATAAAACATGAGGCTTTTCAGAATGTTAAATATGTATTTTACATTTATTCTGTGACGAAAGTAGAGTCTCATATCCACCTTATTTTTGTGCATTTATTTGGCTTACCAGTCTCGCAAAATGGTTCTCGACTTTTCCTTAAAGCAATAGCTCGTCTCTTCGCCTACGAATTTAAATGTTTAATAATTCTGATAGATAAGATACGTACGAGATTTAAATTGATATCCTCACCATCCCAAATTGTCCTTGGTAATGGGAACTTCCTCCGCACACGGTACTTGCCTATTGGGAGGGGGAAAGCCAGAGAGATTGCAGTATTAATAAAAATATTCATATCACATCATCATGAATAATAACAAATAACAGGCGACTGCTTAACCTCCTCCTCCTCATTTGTTTCCATTTCAAGTTACAAAGTCATCAATCAAAATTGATAAACCTTTTAACAACATTTGACACAATACTTGTAAAAAGCGGTGGAATGATTTATCTAATTTATGCGTGGCCTGAATGTCATCTGTTTCTCTCTCGAGAAGGGCGACAAGAAGAAAGGAGTGGTTTCGTTGTGGCAGTCAAAATGAGATTCATTATTTTATTAAAGACAGATAAATTATCGTTATTATGACAGTCGCATGGGGCATTTTGCTTTTAAGCAGTCTGAACTAAATTATCCCTAAGGACCTGCTCATATTTATTAGCATCGTTATATCACGCATATTTTCACTTGTACAGTAAATACCCAAGTTTGAAATTCGTACTGTCAAGTCACTTTTTTAAAAAATTAAGGAAACAAATTTTGAGATTTCAAATAAAGCAATTTTTCGAAGTGATTTTGTAGAGTGAAATAAATTGTATTGATAAAATAGGCGACGACTTACCCACTGCCCCAAGTGGTCGTCCCCTCAATTTCTCAGCTGAAATTATAAAACCCCCGTTAAACTATCGGCACAAGTTATGCTCAGGAACGGGTAAACTATTGGAAACATACCTTCGATGTAGTGCGCCTTCAACCAGAGAGCTTGGAGCTTGGGATGATTATGAGGAGAAAATTGGTGAGATTCCAGAATTTTGTAAAGTTCCTTGAAATTTCCTCGGTGGAAAGCAACGACTGCTCTGGCCTTCAGTACACTCTCGTTCTTTTGCAATTTCTCACAGCTAGAGAAGCAAAATATTAGTCTTAAAATCTCTTTCATATTCACATACCTAATTCTAATTTAAATTATACCAGAAATAAAAATGTTGTGCTAGTTATTGAACATTTTCGCTTTACAAGACTGTCCAGAAAGATATTTACATAAATATATCGAGCTTAAGTTATGATACGTTAAGATTACCTTGGAAGGGACCACAGAAATCTAGCGAGGCGTTCCATATTTCCTGATTGTTGCAAAACTTCGCACACACAAGCCACCTATTACAACAAATTAGAAAATTAGATCTTATAAACTGTGTGGTGTAAAAGCATCACAGAAAATGGCATGTCAAAATTAGCAAACAATTACGCAAGAAAAAATTATACGCAATTTAGTAGATTTTTTCTGACATTCATCTTATTCTTATATGTACAAGAAAATTGCGAATGTTAACTCATCGTGTATGGTTCAGAAGGCTTGTTAAATAGTTTGTGTTACACATCTTCTGAGAGTAAATCAACCGGGTGTGGATTTGTGGGCTTTGAAGTAACACCCGGGTCTCTGTTTTTTTATTTCCTATTTATCCTCTACTTTTCTCTCCCATTTTTTGCTTGGTAGGTTCGAGTTGAGATTAGAGTTTGCAGAGATTAGCGTTTACACGTTTCCCAAGTTTTGAACTTTGCTGTGGGACATTCGAGTTGACATTTTATTTGGAGTCTTAAACTTTACAGCCGTACAACAATAATAGTTAAACGGCAAAGTCGCCTCCGAATGAATAGCTTCCACTTGGCGTTTTGGCTCTGCAGAGTTGTTGAAGATGCAAAAGTCAAACATTGCAATAATATTCCGACGATTATAGCCGACTTTAACGCCCTTTACGTCACGTCCTCTTAATTATGTTGCATACAATTCAAAATTTGCGAGCCTCGAATAACATGATCCGTGTTGAGTAAGCCATGCAAATACATATTTTTAGAAATATTGTCTTAAAATGTTTGCGTATTTAGCCACACAAAAATTATTTATATTTGAATATGTAGGAATTATTGCGTCGTTTACATCAACAACACATGAGCAAGCACAAGTCTCAAATTTCCTTCAAGTTGGATTGAATGTCACTGGGTTTTTATATGGCTTTTTTAATTGTGCTGCTGGAAAAGAGTCAAGCCACCAAGTGCTTGTCAAGTTTCAAAAATAATCTAACCCACCTTTTACTATTTTCGAAACTTGATACGACACTTGATACCGAATACGAGACATTTCATGGTCCCAGTCAGTTAAATATGCGTACTTAGCGTGTTGTTCATAACAGTGTGACTCGACCTGAGGTTGTCACACATATTATTCTAGCCCAGCTTTTGCTTCGGTTTTATTCAAACACGTGTAAGTAAAAAAAAAGGCTTCACACACACACTACGGCATTCTACAGAATCGTATCCGTAAAACCAGACTGGATTTATTTCTACCGTTAACTTATGCAAGCAAAATTTTGATTAGAAAAATGAGAAGGATGCTCATACCTGTTCTTGTGTGAATCCGAATGAGGGTAGGATTGGGTTTGGGGAGGGAGGTCCAAGGCTGAGTGACCCCACGGACGTGACGGAAGGGAGGCAGCTTCCTCCCATGAGATTGTGGCTGGACAAGAGCCCCCCACCACCGTCGCCCATATTGCCCAGAATCATCACAGGGGAATATAGTCACCAGGAGGAAAAAACGAATACTTTTTTGTCCTCAGTTATGTAGTAATTGTTCCCCGATTAAGAGCAATTCTCCACATTACACAAGTCAAAGGTTTTGGGACGTCTGCCAAAAAGAAGTGATCACACTGCGATGAGTTGAGTTTGTCTTCTTGATAAATCGGATTCTTTGCAATGGCGTAAAATTGAATGTTTTATCGACCGTTTTAGTTTTAGTCCAATGTGTGAATTTTCATCGATCACACTCAATTGGAATGTAACTCTATCCTCGTCTCTCGAACACTACTTGACTCACGACAGATTTGTTGGTTTATATGGAGAAAAAATCATGCAGTGATTTTTAATTAGTTTCATTACCGTTTTGATTAGAGTTTTCACTACCCTTCAGAAGACTTGGCTTGATCCGCTTTCTCCACACGAATCAAATTACTTTTTTGTACCACACTCTCAACGATTTGAAAAAGGTTTGGCCTGAATCACCAACAGCATAATTTTTATTTGGAAGAAAGGTTATATTTTGTCCTTATTTCACGTGGTTGTGAAGATCATTAGTTCAACATGTTTGGTGTAATGGTATCAGTTTCACATAAACAAAACACAGCTTGCACATGCAACTTCTCACCTTGATACGTCGATATTTTGTCAATATTTTACGGTCACTATCCATAAAGCAAATCGTTGTTCTTGGTTCTGCCACTTTTCTCAAATTATTCTTAACAACACCGCCGTTGTGTTCACTTTTCTTTTAATAATTATTATGTAAAGTGAGATTTGAGATGGAAATATCCACCTTGAGTTGACGGCGTTAAATCTCTTCAGCTGCTACTCTGGCCTCTTGAAGCCATTCTGCCCTGTCTCAACAACGTCTTGACCTTTTCGGCAGCAAAATGGGCATCGACTGAGACTGGAGTGAGACTTGAGTCGTCTTTAAGTAAGAGAAGATTTCCAGATCGCACTTACTCCACACGGGAGTGCATATCGACCATGCATTTACTTACGAGATGCTAAAGTGAGACCCCTTTTCCCAAGACGACCTTTCTGTGCTCCAATTTGTGCGTATGAATGAACAGAGATTAAGGTGGATAATGGATTAGCGGATGAGAGGATTGCCAGTAAACCGGAATCCGGTTAAACACCAGCCCAACTAATCCAGCAGTGTGAAATGAAATGAGGTTCGGTTAAAAGAGTTTTGTGCAGTTCGTGTCAGGCCAGAGCGGATCTGCAACTGAATCTTGTCGACTCTGTGTGTATGCATTGAATTGAATAAGGTGCTGCTGTTGAGGTTGAACGAGTTGAGTCAATATTTTAACACAGGTTACAACATATGTACATGCATGCATACACATCAAGTGATGTGGGAACGAGATGAGACTCTTCACCCAAAAATCTCTGTGGTGTTGCTTCTTGTTTGTGCATACACACATTCGAATATGAGAATTGGTGCTCATCATCAAATGCAGTACGACGCTCAACCCTTTTCTTGTTCATCTCTACGTGCAGAGATAGTTGTCGTTGGTCCACGCACGGTGTTCGCGGAGGGGTCAGGCTGAGAGGGACGTTGAGATATCTGGCACAAAATCTCACGTGCTGCGTGGATGGGGTGGAGGAGAAGCACTAAAAAGAGGAAAGATACGCCGAGCAAGTGATACTCTCGACGATTTCCAAGTTAGCCAGCCCACGTTTGGTGGTTGGCTGTTGAGGAAGTGAGAGTTTGGGCCGGAGCTTTGATCATTGTGATAATACGACTGTGCGCCCAAGCGCCCATCCCAGAATCGGGTGGAGTTTTCATTTTTGATATCAAAGGAGTTGATATCAAAACTCCTTCTAATCGCCACAACTGGATCCCCTTTCACTCAATTGAATGGATACGCTGCTGGGATCTTGGTTGGTCGATTGCGTCTCATGCTCACATTTTTATCATATTTTCATGCGTATCTTTATATGCGCTAACTCGTGTCGATGTGCTTTCCTTCTTTTTCATCATCGTAGTCTCACTTTAATAAATTTGCCCATTGTTGTTTGTTTCTTTCCTGCAGTGCACTCTGGTAAAATATTTGGAAGCAGTTGATTGTTCGGGGTTTATGTTGTGGATCGTTAATTGCAATTGACGCAAACGTCATATTTATCATCAGAGCTTCTGATTCGTAATTTATGATCGTATAAAAGTGAATAGAGTGTTACACTACTATTACTATTGTAATTATTGGGCTGGTTACGTTTATGACTGCATTCCTCGTTAGAATGGTGCATTTTCTTGGTGTATATATTTTGGAAGCACTAGTATATGTGTACTTATATATGATTCCGAATTAAATAGAATTCAGGGTAGAAAAACATGAAGAAAATATTTTGTATCACTGTCACACAATAAATATTCTCACCGTTGAGTGGATTAAGCTCGTGTGGATTTATCTCGGAGGGGGTAACCCCAATATCTCGGGCGTTATCATGTCTCATCTTCCCGTTATCTCATTTGTGCAAATTCACTCGCAGGGTGTTCATATTCAGTTCCTATCAAATATGTCAAGTCATTACGAACGATTAATTTCCTCCTTGTAAATGGAAATTGACCAGAGCAGGTCGATTCGTGTACTACAAGATTTTTAATGTCAAAAGTCATTTGAAAGGACGCCCAGGATAAAAACATTACGAATTGAGGAGTGAATCATTATGAATTTTAATAGCGATGGGGTCGTGGTTGGCTCGCTGTTTATGAATTTCTCAAGTGCCAACCTCCCATTAACTGTGCGTATGTTTGTTTGTTGTCTTTACCCACTTAACATTTTGATCCCAACCCTCTGTGTGGGATAACCTTGTTTGTAAAAACATACTCACAATTTCCACCTTCTTCCACCTTTCACAATGGAAATTAGATTAGTGGACGGTGACTTGTAGAATTTTCCTCAGCAAACACATCTGCCCTCCTCCCCTTCTCACCTTCACCTCATCATTTTTCTAATAATATTCAATTCCACACTTATTATTACTAGTGGCCCATGGGGAGAAAACAGAACAAGTCGCAAGTGGGTGGGTGGTGGTGGTGGTGGTCCTTTTGGGTGGTGGGTGGCTCTTGTTCTATTCACGTCGACATGTCCGATACATAAATCCACAATTAGCCCATTGTTCCGTCCATGCGAGTGATTCAGATCTCTCGTTTTTAATCTTAACAAAGGGTGTGATTAGGACACAAGTCAGTTATCCAAGTGGAATTGAAGAGTTGAAATGAAGGGTTGGCAGGGGATTTATCGTTGGTTCATCTTTCTCTAAATTTTAAAAATATGTAAAACTTTTCCTAACTTTTGTTAGTACATCATTGTCTTTTTCGTTTTTGTAATCTTGTTTTATTGGTATTATTCAGTGTATGCTGTAATTTTATATAATCTCAAATATTCTTCATGATAAATCATGAGCGCTGTAAACTCAGATATGTACATAACCCAACACGAAACAACTATAAGTGCACACAAGAAATTTTTGGTCTTCTTACATACTTGTCAGCCCATTGTAGAATATTGTGTCCTGACAAAGGGGCGAGTTAAAGGCGGTTTGTTTCCACCATGGTTTTGAAGTTTTGGAAATTTTGGGATTTGGGGCTTTTCATTGTTCATAATTTTGAAAGTAGTTAAACGGCAATTCAGAGTACAAATAGGTGCGTGCCTTTTCCCGTCCCTTCTTCTTTTCACAATTCGACAGTTCTCAATACACTCTAAATCTCTATTCGTTCCTTCCTCTTTCATATTTATTTATCTTTCGGGAAACATTTTTCATTGACAAACTGCTTTGTCATATAACAGGCGAAAACTGTCCACAATTGAGCTTCTCGACCCATTCGCTCTGTGTGCATCGAAAGTCATTCTTGCCATCGTCGTCCTCATGATCCCTCACTCGGCCAGAAACCTATAAAATTTTTGTCTGGTCCTAGCTTCACCAAGGTTTTTGCACTATTAGTACGACTGAGGTTAACAAGGTGAAGAACAAAGTGTGCGAGAAATGATGGGGATAATAACGCCCAATTTCCCTTTTGCTTGTGATCACTCCTGACTACTTTTCTCCTCTTTATTAAGACCACTTCATCATTTTTAGGACTCATTCATTCATCCACCCAGGATTTAGATCCAAACAATCGACCAACAAATGGACAAGGAAGTGAAGGACTCGTGGGCACTTATTCACACAATTCGTCTTGTTCTCCACTTCAGCTCTCCTTCTCCAGTTTTCAATGGACAAAGTGTAACAATAACAAACATCTGAGCCATTGCCATTCTTTGTCCAATGTCTAAACTCTTGTCTACGTACGTAGTAAGACATCGCTACTTGCCTGGCTTCTCTTTCGACGGGGTCTCACTCCCCCGTGGAACAAGATGAAGATGTATTGCCATTTTGTACTCGTTTCAAGCGAACAAGCGCACGGAAAAATCTGAATCAGGTATTTGTAACAGAACACAATAAAAACATCATTGTTCATTCATCAACATCAACTCGGTCTCTGGCAAGAGCATTATCAAGCCCACTTCATTATCTTATTGTTATTTTATCAGCTTACTACTTATCCAGCCAACTTTACCTCTTAAATACTTTTTCAGTCGTATGTATATATTTATGCACGTATTTTAGCAGGCGTTCAGGACAAAATCTTCATATTTCAAGGATGACCCAAACTCCTGCAAATTGTTCAGCTCAGCATGAAACTCAATCATTTCGTGTCGTCGTCGTCGGCACATTCTAAAATTTCCAAGAATTTTATGCTCATTAACAAAGTGTACAACATTTGTACTAGAAAGTTTTTGAGCACTTGGAAAGCAAACCAGGACGAGCAGAATGGAGGACGTCCGACAACTCACTGCTGCTCTGTCATCTGGCCAAGTTCTGTTGACTTTGTCCAATTTGACTTGCTCAATAATGTTCTTTAATTCTGTGTTGGACCTCGTTTAACTGCTGCTTTAGTCGTCCCATGTTTGGATTGTCAGAGTCAACTGTTTATTTAGGACGGCTAGTCTAGTCACCACATCTCCACGCAATACTTACCGTTTTTGGTTGGTCAGTCCTTCTAAACGAACAATTCATGGGCATAATTGCAAACCATCTGCTTCTCTCTAAAAAAATCATCTCGAAGGTTGTCAACAAAACATTCGTCAGAAACTACACGTTTACTACTAAATATTTTGCATGTAAAAATGCATTGAGGAAATTGAGAATAAATTAGGCAAGTCACTACAAGTTCGCCTCTCGACCGTGTGAGATCTCGTTTGGGAAACTTTATTAAAAGCAGACTCAGGTAAATAAGCTAAAAACACGGATAGCGCATTTTGAAATTATTTCATTCGACGATCTGACGACCAAGCAGTTCGAAGCGACTCCATTTGTGGATATGTTCATGCCTAAATTTTCGTTTAATTCAGTCCTCGTCACAACGGTGCTGGTTGTTCATCGAGCCTTGCTTGTGCGTTGTTGCTACAAAGTTGAACTCCTACGTACTGCTTTGGCTGAGAGATGTGGTGCTCTTCATGAGGGATATCGGGTTTCCAATGCATCTGTCTACTTTCTGAGTTCGGATATTTGATACCCCCGTTCCTCCATCCATCCGTCCTTCCTCCAGCCTCGTTTGATGCTTCATGATGATGTCGATGGCTGTTCCTCCAACTACTTCCAAACTTTAGACCCTCTCCAAATCGCACTACTCTGCGGAGCAAACAACATTTTCAGATGTGCAATACGTAGAATATTTACCTACCTACGTATGCAGCTCAGAAAGTGTGTGGTGGTTCAGGTGAAACACTTTCATAATTCATTTCCAGATATTTCTAGTCATAATTGGAGCCGTAGATATTATTAAATTATGAAATTTTGCTATGCTACTAGACAAAATTTCTAATGGGTGCATGAATATCTAGCAGAATTTGGTATCAGTTTAAATGGGGACGTAATTTATGTGGAGTCCTGCCTTGGAGGACAAGACCTTCTTTCACTCTGCTCGTTAGACATGCTTGTTAGTTGAAGTCTTCAATATGCCACCACACCAGACCAATAGCCAGCCAAACCGGGTATTAGCTTACTTTTTACTAGCTTAAAATATGACGGATAATGTTTCACATCATTCAAATTCAATGGTGAATGTCTCCTTTATACGGTGTAAACAGTCCACCCCTTCATTCCTCTAAAAAGCTTTCTTTTGTTGCATCTCATCTCGTAGGCTGCCCATAATTCCGCTGCCTGCATGCATCTCACTTATTCTTTGGGTGAGGGA